GAGACATAGCGAGGGCTGTTCCTCTTGGTTTGGGCAGCTCTTCTTGGAGATGTGTATAACGTGTAGCATGACAGACCGTGGCTTTCAGAGGCACAAACATCCTTTGCCCACATTCTTCTTTCAAATAACCCCTCCATGGGGTAAAATGCCTGGGACACAACAGTCTCACCCAAGACATATGGTGGGTGGGTTTGGGAGAAGGTGAAGGCTCTCAGGAGACATTTATTTATCTAACAGCACCTTCAAACCTGTGGATCCCTCAACTCCCTGCTAAGGGCTTTTGGGAAATGCCAGCAAATCCCTGTGTGAATGTTTAGAGTGGGTTTTGGACAGAGGTGTCTGCAAATATGTAGTATCCAAGACTTATTCCTAAGAAATACCTGCATCAAAATGCATAACAACCTGAGGCACTTGCTGTTGTTCTGCATTGATCAAGGCTGATTGCAGCAGCCTGAGGAAAACATGGCTCCATCAAAAACATCAAGGTGAGATGAATTCTGCTTCGTCTCAGCACAGGCGTTGTTGGATACCCACCAACAGTACTTTGAAACACACAGCTGGACTTGCAATTAGGTGGAAAAGTCAAAACTACCGATTCTCTTTGTTTTGTTTAATTTTTTAATTCTTTATTATTTATTTTTTTTCCAAGATCCCCTGGAGCTGCTGCCTGCAGTGGGTAACACCATGGCTGTCCACCCAGGAGCAGTCAAGAACTTATTTCCCAGCTGCCATCCCAGCTCCTTCCCCAGCCTCTTGAATCACTGATTCCCTTGGCTTTGCTTCAAAACTGGGGACTGAGGTCCCTCTTGCCCAATTGGGTCCCAGGGGCTGGAGGGGATTTGGGGGGTTCTAGCAGAAATCCACCTGCTGGGGTAGCTGGGCAGCCAGCCACTGCTCCAGTGCAAGATCCATTGGGACTTACCCTCTGATTTTTTTTTCAGGTTTATCAAATAGACATTTATTTATTTGTTGCATGGAAATTGCTTCTACTGGAAATTTCTGATCAGCTGTAAAGATTACCCTGAAACCCAACTCCCCTTATTTTGCCTCTGCTTGACACAAAGGTATGAAAAGGCAGAGGAAAAAAAAAATGTGGAACAAACTCCTGGAGAACATGAACTCAGAAAGCAATGCACATGCTGCAAGACAGCATATCAACCTTAACAATTACTCTTTAAAAACTAATATTGGTTATTTCATCACAAAAAGAAAAAGAGCAGAGTGGCCTGTGCTTATGATGACACGAGTGAAAAGTGGCCTCTTTGACCCAACCAAAAAGTATTTTTTTTTTCCTCAGGCAGCTCACAAAAATCACTGGGAATCTCTGGCCTAGCTTGGGGCACAGACCTTGAATGCTGCATTTCAGGAAGGTGGATGTAATCAGGTGCTGGAGTACCCTTCATTTCAGACAGAGGAGGGGTGATTTCCTCAGGAGCTGACTATCAGGAGGAGGTTATACCGTCCTGGCTCGAAGATCTCCTGGTAGGGAGATCCTGGGTAATGTCTCTGTGGACGTAGTGTTTTTGGAGAGGCCACTCTGCAGAGCCCAAACAAGGCCCCAGCTTGTTTCTTGTTCATCCCACTTCAGTCCATTACTGGCCTAGCTCCTTCCAGGACCAGTTGGTTGAGAGAATTATGGCTCCTACACAACAAGCTCTCCATGGGTGGTGCTGGCAGATGAGCTCTGGGCTTCCAACCCTCACCTCCCACAAGTCTTTTTTCTCATTCCAGCATTAGAAGTGTCTGTTTATTGTAGCAAAACTGTGAAGTATTGCAAACATTACTGTCTTGAGATGTCAGAAGATTAAACAAGACACAAGGCATAGACTCATACTGTAAACTCAGAAGTGCTGTATGCATTCAGTGGACCACCACAACCAGCCAGCACAAGGATGGTCACTCACTTGGTATTTTGACAAGCTCTGCATTTATCCACTGAAGGAGCTGAATTTAGAGCTGTGGTTCTTCAGAGCAACAGCCAGAGACAGCTCTCTCCCATATAAATTCTATGGCAGGCATACAGGACTTCATTCAAGAAGCTCAGCATTGGGAAATGAGGGAATTGAATGCACCCTCAATAAGCTTGCAGAGAACACCAAGTTGGATGGAAGTGTCAATCTGCCACAGGGTAGGGAGGCCCTGCAGAGGGACCTGGACAGGATGGGTCAATGGGCAGAGGCCAAGGGGATGATGTTCAACATGGCTAAATGCTGGGTCCTGCACTTTGGTCACAACAACCCCATGCAACACTACAGGCTTGGGGCAGGGTGGCTGGAAAGCTGTGCAGAGGAAAAGGACCTGAGGGTGTTGGTCGATGCTCGCCTGAACGTGTGCCAGCAGTGTGCCCAGGTGGCCAAGAAGGCCAATGGCATCCTGGCTTGTGTCAGGAATAGTGCAGCCAGCAGGACCAGGGAGGTGATCGTCCTCCTGTACTCTGTTCTGGTGAGGCTGCACCTCGAGTGCTGTGTTCAGCTTTGGGCCCCTCACTACAAGGACACTGAGGCCCTGGAGCATGTCCAGAGAAGAGCTACAAAGCTGGTGAAGGGCCTGGTCCACAAGTCCTGTGAGGAGCGGCTGAGGGCACTGGGGCTGTTTGGTCTGGTAATGATGCTACAACGTCAAGAACAGAGAAGAGGAGGCTCAGGGGAGACATCATTGCTCTCTCCAGCTACCTGAAAGGGAGGTATGGGGAGCTGGGGGTTGGCCTCTTCTCATAGATGATAGGACTACGTGATAGGAGTGATAGGACTAGAGGGAATGGCCTCAAGTTTCAGCAGGGGAGGTTCAGGTTGGAAATTAGGAGACATGGAGTCACCACCCCTGGGGGTGTTTAAGGAAAGGTTGGACATAGTGCCCAAGAACATAGTTTAGTGGGTAACATTGGTGGTAGGGGGATGGTTGGACCAGATAATCTTGTAGGTCTTTTCCAACCTTAATGATTCTGTGATTTTATGAAAAGCTGTAGCTTTGAGTTCCCTAAATTATGATATGTAACTAAACAAGGTGGTAGAAAGCAGTTGGTGAGTCTAAAGTCATCTGTGAGTCAGCCCAGTACTGTAGGCAAAACACTTGCCTAATAATCATCGTTTAATGCTAGATGGCCTCTGGAGGTCTCTAGTCCAACCTGTTGCCCAAAGCAGAGCTAAATCTGATTAGCAACAGGCATTAGTTTCTAAAAAAAAAAACATTCACAATGGTGAAATCAAAACATTCCAATAAACTTCTGGCTACTTTACTACAGCTATAACAAAGGCCCTCATGCTTTTTGTCATCCTGTTTTAATTCAATAATAGGTCATTTTTCTTAACAAGGTGATTTTATTTTATTTTATTTTATTTTATTTTATTTTATTTTATTTTATTTTATTTTATTTTATTTTATTTTATTTTATTTTATTTTATTTTATTTTATTTTATTTTATTATCAAGGCCCCAGCTTCCATTAACATTCAACCTCTGGTCTGTCAAAGTGATCCTCCACAACAAACATTTTTGGAAAACTAGCCTTGCACCTTCTGGTTTATCCTGTTAGAGGTTCTCTGATCATTGGTTAGGGTGTGTCTTCAGTTCTTAGCCTGGTATCACCACTTGTCTCTGGGTGTGCTGGGGAGACCCAGGTGCTAGTGCTGGGACATACACATTTAACAGTGTTGTCTTGCCCTCAGGGATTGTAGATGACAGCCTCAGAGCCCACGAGGTCTGCCCAAGTGTTCAGATGAAGATACTTATCTATGTAGATACCCAGAAGGTGCCTTCACAGGCATCACTTCCCATTTACTCTCCTAAACTGCTGGCTCCAGAGTTCATCTGAAAACCTGACCTGATGATCAGGAGGGAAGATGCTTGTCTCAAGTTCAGTTTAGCACTTTTTAAAAATGTTTCAAGTCTATAACCACTAGGTAGATCCATGCTAATCAATCCCATCCCTGACTCCTGGATGAGCAAAGAGCAGTGTTTTGCAAGGGACAATCATTGCTCCCTTGGCATCGACACTTTTAGTGCAGCTGCCAGTTTTGATGGCTTTAGGTCTCTGGTTTAATATCTTATAGCTCACTGTATGCATTTTGTGTTCTTGTTTATTCCTGGATGAAATCAGCATTGAGACACTACAGATATTGTTTACTTTGCTGTTGTCAATAGAAACTAAAGGTCAAATAATCAGAACAGAGCCTGTGGACATAAATCATTATCTGTTTATATTTTTGCTGATGAGTATTAATAAAAACATTCGTTTGGCTAAGGAGGCTCCATGGAACAAACAAAGGTGGTCATGTAGTTGAAAACTGGAGAAAAATATGCCAAGCTTCCCCATCTCAGAAAACATGAGGACTTGAGAGGCTGTCACCAGTGGTCCTGTGATGGACAAGGAGAAAACTACATTCCCATGCAAGAGCTGCTCATCCTCCTCAATACCCACAAAGAGATGACTGCAATGCTGAGAAAAACAACCCACAGCAAAAATGAGCCTCACACTGCCTTGGTGCCTGCAGAGCTCCAGCCAGATCTAATGAGGAGGCACCATCCATGAAGGCAGAATGAAGATGTGACATCTGTGCTGCGATCACCAGGCTGGTGACTTCATGTGATATGCCCCGGGGCTCAGCATCTACCCCTGGAAGCAGAATTTGGTGAGGCAGAGAAGCTTTGTGTGGCTTCACAGCTACAGTTGTCTTGCAAGCCCATCTGCACTGAACTAGATCCCAGCAGGTATTTTCTACCACAGCTCCCAGCCCTGCAAGACTGAGGCAACTATGCCAACAGGATCCCTACCATAGTGTAGGCAGTCTCTCCTTTGACCTCTCCAGCTTCTGCTGGAGGATTTGGTGGGCAAACATTTTACTCCCTTAGGAAACTATCCATCTCCATGCAGGTTGAGTAGTAGCTTTTTAATGACAGTTGTGGAAGGAAAAAGAACACATTCAGAGGCTTTAAAATTAATGGAATTTAGCTCTAAAATCTTTCCTTTCATAAGTGTTTTAGATATACAGACTGCCTGAGGGCTTTTTTGTTTTGTTTTGTTTTGTTTTTCTGCTCTCTTGTGTTAGAGTCTAGTTTCAGGAAAGGCAGCATGTTTCCACACATATATATGCAGTTCTAACAACAAATGTGCATTGAGCTTGTACTGAAAACACTCAAGGTCATAAAAAAGTAGTACCACTTGGCTCTCTGTAGTTGTCTCAGGACTGTAAAAGTCAGAACTAGCTAAGTACATACGGAAAAGATGAACTAAAAGCACATTGAGGAACGCATTTCTGTACAGTCAGAGCAAATTGAATGTAATGGTTTTCCACTGTTTTCTCCCACTGCAACGATGATGACCTCAATGATGATGTTCCCTTGAGAGTAAGATCTCTTGGAGATGTGTTTCTAGTACTCGGGTTTGGCCAAAAACCAAACTCCTCTGCAGCAAAGCAGTGAGAAGTTCCCAGCTGCAAGTGTTCACACCAGCCAGGCAGTTCAGGACAGGATCATCACTATTTCCCATCTCCTACCAACAAATGCATGTCCTTCTCATTTACCATACTTCTTCCTTAGGTAGAAAGTCAAGGTAGGGAGGGAAAAGAATCTGTAGACTTAAATGGGAATCATAAAATATCCTGAGTTGGAAGGGACCCACAAGGATCATCGAGTTCAACTCCTGGTTCCTCAAAGGACCACCCCCCAAAAAAAAAAAAAAAAACACACACACACAAAAAACAACAACAACAAAAAAAAAAAAAAACACGGACCACATGTCTGAAAGCATTATCCAAATGCGTCAGGGAGTTACACCTGTTAGAAGTTTGAGCAGCACTGCCCTAGAGAAAACGCTTCCCTCTGGTTTGCTCTGCTGTGTCCCATTCAGGCCATGCCCCCAACACTCTGCTTTAAGGTATTATTGAAAAATCTCTGTGGCTGCTGGCAAGGCTTGGGTAGTGACTAAGAGCACTGTATCATCAATAATTAAAGCCCACTTGTCTCTTCACAGTGAAGCACTGAGATTGTTTTATTGAGTCATCGTTCATATCAGCCATGAGCAAACAAATAAGTTTAAAGTAAGGACTAGTGCAAAACTGGTATGAAACTTGAATCAAGCTGGAAAAAAAAATAGTGGCAAGGTCTCATTTTTAAGTCATCTGCTCAGAACGTCTGTGGGTTCAAAGGGGGCAAAGCTGCAACATGTTTCGTTATATGACTTCCGATTCGTTAGCATGGCTGTGAGTAATTCTGAAACCCTCACCCCTGAAGTGAAGCCAAATTGCAGCAAGTGAATCACCCAGAAGACTGAGACCCTTTTCTGCTGGCAAAATATGCTGTGAACACACTGCAAAATTGCATGCGTTTCTTTGCTTATACAGCATTTTGGTGCAAGTGACTTTTGTCTTGTCAGTATTGCTTACTGATTCAGTTCATAAATGATCGAATGTGAGATATGTGAGGTATCTTTTTTATTTTTCTTTACTGAGAAACCTAATAACATGAGTTTTCTGAAATGTAATACTTACTTATACTTCCACACAATTAATTTTTCCATCCTTCAGTCTTTGAACTCTGGGCTTCATCTTTAAATGTTTAGCTTGAATCAGGATGTAAAACAGAAATCACTCATGCACAATGCCTTGCTCATTACATCCGTCTTCACAAGGGAACGTCTCTTTGATTTCCTGTGTCAAAAGAACATGAAAATGGCTGTATTGGCTCAAATCCACTAAACCCAGGATACTGTCTTGAACTGTGGCCAAAAATATGGGGAAGAGCATAAGAATAAGCAAAGCACACAGGGAATTTTCCCTGTGGAAGAGCACAGGGTGCTCTCACAGCTTCTGGTACTTTGATGTTCAGGGATTTTATGAAATAGGTCATCTGAAGAATGATCAGTATCATTCAGCAAATTCCTCATCCATGAACTTGTTCCCCCCAACCCCCCTCCCTCGAATTCACAAAAACTTATCACATTCTCAAAACTGTGCATCAAGGAATCCTGCAGGGGAACCATGAGTCTGGAGAGGAAACCACTCCTCTTTTCTGGTCTGAACCTACCATCAGTTGAAGTCAGCATCATCTGATGCTCTCTAATTTTTTATGGCAGGAGAGGTCATGTACAACAAACAGAACTGGCATATGCAGTCACTCCTACAGAAACCATTCTACATCCTTCATCCTCCCTGAAGCTTTTCCAGTTCTGTTTTACCTCTTCTGAGATGGGGAAGACCAAAACCTTACCCAGCATCCAATACGTAGAATACGGAGGAATTATGGTGCAGTGTCATTATATTATTTTTTCCTTTTCTGATGATTTCCTAAGCTTTGTTGGCTTTTCTGATGCTACTGGTGTTTTCACAGGACCATCTATCTACAGCACTGGGATCTCATTCTGGAATGTCAATAATCTGCTAGACCCTGTCATCTCGTATGTGGCATTCAGGTTATTTTTCCTGTGTGCATCACTTTGCACCTCCTTAATGGATCTACAGTCCTTCACCCTTGTCCTACAGCATTGATATCATGCAAAACAGAGCATCTGCAGCAAACTTCTTCTCTTCCAGGTTGCTAATGACTGTGTTGAAAAGTCTGGATCCTAATAAAGGGTGATTTCTGTGTTGCAGCTTGTGCTGATGCCTCCAGTGCTCTTGCTGTGCCCCTGGGAGCAGGGTCTGGCCCCAGCATCTCGTAGACCCCTTTGAGCCAGGGACATGTCCTTGTCCAAACCTTTTTTAATGAACATTTCTAACAATTATTCAACTGCAATGACAGTTGGAAACTTCTGTCTGTTAGGTCATGCTGAGTTTGGACACTTCATGGTTCCTGGATTAAGGAGCCCATGTGTTTGGTCTCCATTCCTAAGGGGGCAATAAACCTGTTAGAACTAAACTGAAGCAATATCAGCCCAGGGAGATTAGACCAGTATTTTATAGCTAGCATGCTGAAACAGATACATCCTCGTATACAATACATTTATAGTAGAATATATGGGTTTAATCTCTCTATTATTGTGCTTCTCTGGAAACATGGCTGAGAATATGTTGAAGTTCAGCAAATGGAAACTGAAATCCTAGTACTTCATTTATTAGCCACTGCTTCATATTTAACAGAAGACATTTTAGCAAAGAGCCTTTTTGAAATCTCAAGAAAAAGCAAATGTAACAAGAAAACCTGTCCATCTTCAGCTTTAGTCAACACTTTTTGCTCCCAGGACTTCCTGAGGTCTCCAGCAGTTTCAGCATGGATTCACCTACCTCCTCCAGCAGGATGGCTGCCAGCCATGTGTACCAGCCCAGCAAATGCTGTTCCCTTTGCTGAGGCTCCCATCCATTTTGTGACATCCTCTTTCCCCAGCCTCCAGTCCCACCTGTCCTGCTGTGGGCGTTTGTACAGCTGGAGGGAAGAAAGGATTCAGCCTGGCTGAGTACACTTCAAAGAGCTGTTACAGGGATTTCTTGATTAACCTTACACTTAAAAAACATAAAACAACATGGAAGTGCCAAGGCTGTTCCCCACTGAGGTTCATCTGTTTGCACAATATAGTGTTTCTTTTTTGTGAGTTGTTGTCAACACCTCAATGTCCAGGTGGAGACCAGTGACAAGTGATGTTCCTCAGTGGTCAGTATTGGGACTGGCACTATTTAATGCATTTGTCTGTGACATGGACAGTGAGATCAAGTGCACTCTCATCAAGTTTGCTGATGGCAGCAAGCTGTGTGGCGCAGTTGGCATGCTGGAGGGAAGGGAAGGGAAGGGAAGGGAAGGGAAGGGAAGGGAAGGGAAGGGAAGGGAAGGGAAGGGAAGGGAAGGGAAGGGAAGGGAAGGGAAGGGAAGGGAAGGGAAGGGAAGGGAAGGGAAGGGAAGGGAAGGGAAGGGAAGGGAAGGGAAGGGAAGGGAAGGGAAGGGAAGGGAAGGGAAGGGAAGGGAAGGGAAGGGAAGGGAAGGGAAGGGAAGGGAAGGGAAGGGAAGGGAAGGGAAGGGAAGGGAAGGGAAGGGAAGGGAAGGGAGGTGGAATTGGATGATCTTTATAATCCAATCCAAACCGTTGTGTGATTCTGTGAAGGTATGGACAGCATCAGCCTTTTGCTATGGACAACATCAGCCTTTTGCTAATGACAAGGAGCTGCTAAATGTTTCCTTCCGTTGCCTCCTTCTGCTGGTGCCAACATTGAGGATTGTTTCTATGGGTCTGATGGGTTGGATGGAGACAAGATACAGGTTTAATAAAGTAATTCAGACACCTCAGGCCTGCTGGTGTGCTTCATGGACATGAATCCTGCACTCTCCTGTAGCAATGGAAGAATCTGCCCTGGAGCTGTCGGCTTCCCTGGGCATTTAGCCATGGGGATGCATTGGGAGGCTGACTCCAGGAGGGAAGGAGGCATTGGGAAAGAGAGCTGCAAAGGAACCAATTGTTCTGCAAGCTGCACACTGGACCTCCTCCTCAGGACACTTCAATTAGTATTATTTTTTCCAAATAATATTATTTATTACAATACTTATGTTGTTTATAACTGAGTTTTAATTCAGTGATGAGCACAGATTTATACAGTGGTCACCACTCTATAGAATGATTTAGAAAAAAAGTTTCTATAGAAGCACCTCCACTGTGAGGAGGGGCTGAGAGAGCTGGGACTGTTTAGCCTGGAGAAGACGAGGGGGATCACATCAATGTCTATAAACACCTGAAAGAAGGGCACAAAGAGGACAGAGTCAGGCTCTTTTCAGTGGTGCCCAGTGGCATGACAAGAAGAAGCACAAGAGGTCTCTTCCAAGCATCAGGAAGCGCTTCTTTAACATAAAGGTTGCCCAGAGATGTTGTGGAAATCAACAAAAGTTGGAAATCTTCAAAAGTCTTCTGGATGTGGTCCTGGGCAAGCTGCTCTGCGTGGCCTTGCTTGAGCAAGGGTTGGGCCAGATGACCTCCAGAAGTCCCTTCTGACTTCAAACATTCTGTGATTCTGTAATTTGTCCAGGAAATTTCTCACCATGCTGTCTTATGTCAAATGAACTTTAATGGGAACAGCAGGATCTGAGAACCTGTAAGAAATTGATTTCTACAGAACTTTCCTGAGAACAACTGGGCTCCAACACAATTTTAAGACATGGTTTAGTGGGTGACATTTGTAGTAGGGTGATGGTTCGACCAGATGATCTTGAAGGTCTCTTCCAACCTGAATGATTCTATGATTCTCCTTCAGACCAAGAGTTAACCTTTCACAGGCATCGGTGAATCACATGACATTTATCAATCTCACAAAAGCGAGATGAAAAAGACTGTGAGCATTGACCAGTTGCCCAAAACTCCTCATTCTTGGATAGTCCAGCTGCTCACCAGTCATCAAGGTAAGGACACAGTAAAATCCAGTATCCACAGTAAAATCCAGTATCCAAGACAGTTACAGCCTATTGCCTCATCTTCAGACCCCTCCAAGCTTGCAGGCAAGTGAAATGAACATACAGCTGGTCAAGAGCCAGTGACTCTGGTGGGCATATCTGATGCAGCTCTGTCACTGTGAAAAGCAGACAAGAGATCTTTGACAGACATAGAGCCAGATAAAGTGGGGAGGAAAGGTCAGAGATGTTGCTTCCTTCTGTGGCATTACAGGAGATGTCAATTGTACATGGGCTGTCCAGAAAGTCCATTGAAGAACTGAAGATTTTTTCTACCCTTTATCCAAACAGACATGGAAGATGCTCCTTTTGCAGTAAGCAGATATCTACATCTCCTTGGGAAGTCCTTCAGACTTCATTCATGAGAACTCACAATGGTGGGCAAAATTCTCTCTACCAAAGTTAGGCAACAAAAACAGGTGAAAAACCTTGAAGGCAATAAAACACTTCCCTCCCAATCTTTGGTGCCCCACCAAGGAGCCTCACCAACTGCAGGAGCACAGAGAGGGGAAGGTGATTGTCTTACTCCAACCCACTGGTGCAAACTGGGAGAGAAGTGCAGTGATAATCCTGGAGGAGGGTAGTAGAGCTGTCTCCATCATAACCCAAGCTCTCACAGAGCAATCCTGTCCCAACAGCTGCAGATGGTGCCACCTCCCCAGACTTTACCTCGGGCTTGCCTCAAGACAAGACAGGTAAGAAGCAGAGAGGAGTTCTTTGCACTAAAAAAACAGCCTGTTGTGAGACTCCACAACAGATCCTGCAGATACTGGCTTTACAGAACCCTTCAAAGCCGTATGCAGCAAGTGAAGTTTTGAGATGATCTTCTCCATGGTACAGGCATGCCAGAAGTCACCAGAGAGGCTGAGGCAAAAGGTACAAGGGCACATGGTCATAATCAGCTCCAGGGTAGGAGGAAACCTTCACCAGCTGCTTAAGTGTGAAAAGTCAAAAAATGAAGTGTCACGTTACATAAAAAATTTGGAGAAAAGGCAGAAGTGGAACTGTCGCCGTCCATGAGAGCAGCACAAAGTCTTTAGGGAAGGCAGAAGAGACAGCTCAGCAGGGCAAGACCTTGCTAAACACAGAGACCAAGTGGCAGAGCATTCTGAATCATGAGAGGAGAGAACCTGCAACCATGGAGGAGAGGGGCTGACTGCAGCCATGACCCACAGAGTAAGACTCCAGCCTCATGTGGCTGCACACTAGAACACCTTGGTGAGACTGGGCAAGGGACATTTTGGCAAGACTTCCCATTTAAGTGGGACAGACAGTGGCTGTTACAAGC